CTCGAGCTTACGCTCCAGATCAGTTCGGTGAGGACTCGGATGCCAGGGAGGACTCGATCCACAACGCTATATAGAGCACAATCGCGGCATGGCACATCGCAGTTCAGCACGGCGTAGCACAGCACAGCCGTCGGCACAGTACATCATCATCGATACATTCAGCATTGCATGTGCCCGTCGCCCAATCAGGTGTCTTTGAAATGTTGCAATGCCTTACATTTCTATATTCCTTTCCGGGTTCGTGGGTCGATCATGTTTTTTTTTGCCCAAGCCGGGGACCGGAAAACGGAAAGCGGAAAACAGAAACCGGAAAACGGAAAACCGGAAACCATAAAGCGGAAACCGGAAAACGGAAAACGCAATTTGGGTTTCTCCCCAAACCGGAAAACGGAAACCGGAAACCGGAAAACGGAAACCGGAAAATGGAAACCGGAAACGGAAAATTGGAAACCAGAAAACGAAAAACGGAAACCGGAAAACGGAAAACGGAAAACGGAACTTCGTTTTCTGCCCAAACCGGAAACCGGAAAACGGAAACCGGAAAACGGAGAACGGATTTTCGTTTTCTGCCCAAACCGGAAAACGGAAAACGGAAACCGGAAACCGGAAAACGGAAAACAGAAACCGGAAACCGGAAAACGGAAAACGGAAACCCGAAAAAAGAAAACGGAAAACGCAACTTCGCTTTCTGCCCAGACCGGAAACCGGAAAACGGAAACCATGGAACGGAAACCGGAAAACGGAAAACGGAAAACGGATTTTCGTTTTCTGCTCCAGGGTTCTGTTTTCCGTTTCCGTTCCGGTCCGGCGCGCCTGCTGACCGGAATCATCTGCGGTGGTGTTCTGCCGGACCCGGACCCCGGACCCCGGACCCGGGCAGCCGGAGGTCCATAAGTCGGGGGGGGCAGTTTCCGGCGGATGCGTTTTTTGACACCCCTCACAAGGATCGTGGCCTCTGAGGGGGTTCCGAACTCGAGTACCACCCCTCCCGCACCAAGAGGCTCCGAGGAGGCCTCCAAGAGGCCCCAAGGGGCGCAGAAGAGGCCCCCAAGAAGCCCCAAGAGGCTCCCAAGAGACCCCCAAGAGGCCCTCTAGTGGCCCCAAGAGGCCCAAGAGGCCCCCAAGAAGCCCCAAGAGGCGCCCAAGAGGCCCCCAGAAGTCCCAGCCAACCACGAGATCCCAACCAGCATCCATGAGGCCTCTGACCCACCACCCACGCACGGTGGCGGGATAGGCCGACGGCCACTGGATCCGCCGCCCCCTGTGGTCTTGCCACAGGGGTGCACGGCGTGCTGGACGATTCAGGTTTTGGTTTTGGTTCTTTTTCTAAAAGAACTCCCCAGTGGGCTTCGGCCCGTCCCGCCGGCCACCCGTAAGTTTCCGAAAATCCATCTGTCAATGCCTTTGTTGCCCCAACTTGGCCCAAGATGGCCTCCAAGACGGCCAAGATGGCCCAAGATGGCCTCCAAGATGCCTCCCAGACGGCCAAGATGGCCTCCAAGACGGGTAAGATGGCTCCAAGATGCCTCCAAGACGGCCCAAGATGCCCTCCAAGACGGCCAAGATGGCCCCAAGATGCCTCCAAGATGGCCCAAGAGGCCTCCAAGACGTTCTCCAGGAGAGCCCGAAGAGGCCAAAATCATTGGTTTTCCTTAGGTTTTTGAAGGTTTTTTGCGTTTTCTTCTTTTCGGCCTTCCGACGGCCCAAGAGGCCCCCAAGATCGCCCAAGAGGCCTCCAAGAAGGCCCTATGACGGCCCAAGGGCCCCCCAAGACGGCCCCAAGAGCGCCCCAAGACGGCCCAAGAGGCCTCCAAGACGCCCAACATGGCCTCCAAGACGGCCCTGAAGCGCCCCAAGAGGGCCCCAAGACGGCCCAGAGAGGCCCCCAAGACGGCTCCAGACGGCGTCAGACGGACCAGGAACGCCCTAAGACGGCCAAAGAGACCCCCAGGAAGCCCCCAAAGGCCCCCAAGAGGCCCAAGGAGGCCCCCAAGATGCCTCCAAGAGGCCTCGAAGAGGCCCCCAAGAAGCCCCCAACAGACCCCAAGGGTGCCCCAAGAGACTCCTAACAACCCTCATCCTCCTACTCTATTTCTTCCTCTTCCTCTTCCTGTTCATAATCATTCTCTCCCATGTGTTCCCCGAAAGCTTTCCAAACCGACTCGGGGAACTCATGGTCCGATAGCTTGGCCAAGCTCTAGTCCAACTTTCGGCCACATCGGCGTTTCCAAAAAGGCAGGGGGCGGCGGTGATTCGCCGTAGGCGTCTTCGATAAATGCTGAGTGAGAGGAGGGGAGGGAAAAAGAGAGGAGGGACGAGGGCGAAGAAGGATCACATCAGTCGGAGCGCCTGTATCATCAGGCTGCAGAGCGACACTACGCCAACTCACCTTTGGCTTCGAGACGTCACGTGTTTTTCCGTGTCCTTACCTTAGATGTTGTGTGGCACTTCGTCGGAGGGTAGGCCCGACGTTGCCCCATCAGCCAGACCACTGCTGCTACTGCACCGCGCCTTGCCTTTGCGCAAAAAAAAATATCCCGGCAAAGCAACCTAACATCGATGTGTAGGAGCATATCTGGAAGCATTCCCCTTAAGATTCGGATGAGAATCCAGTTGTAGAATTCTGCTGTTCTCGCAGTCGTAGTCGCATTCGCGATGACAGTCGCAGTGGCAACGGCAGTCGCAGTCACAGCCTCAGCCTCAGCCTGCCTCAGCCTCAGCCTCAGCCTGCCTCAGCCTCAGCCTGCCTCAGCCTCAGCCTCAGCCTGCTTCAGCCTCAGCCTCAGTCTGCCTTCAGCCTCGGCCTCAGCCTCAGCCTGCCTCAGCCTCAGCCTGCATCAGCCTCAGCCTCAGCCTCAGCCTCAGCATCAGCCTGCAGCATCAGCCTGCCTCAGCCTCAGCCTCAGCCTCAGCCTCAGCCTCAGCCTCAGCCTCAGCCTGCTTCAGCCTCAGCCTCTGCCTCTCAGCCTCAGCCTCGGCCTCAGCCTCAGCCTGCCTCAGCCTCAGCCTGCATCAGCCTCAGCCTCAGCCTCAGCCTGCCTCAGCCTCAGCCTGCCTCAGCCTCAGCCTCAGCCTGCCTCAGCCTCAGCCTCAGCCTGCTTCAGCCTCAGCCTCAGTCTGCCTTCAGCCTCGGCCTCAGCCTCAGCCTGCCTCAGCCTCAGCCTGCTTCAGCCTCAGCCTCAGCCTCAGCCTCAGCCTGCAGCCTCAGCCTCAGCCTGCAGCCTCAGCCTCAGTCTGCCTTCAGCCTCGGCCTCAGCCTCAGCCTGCCTCAGCCTCAGCCTGCCTCAGCCTCAGCCTCAGCCTGCCTCAGCCTCAGCCTCAGCCTCAGCCTCAGCCTCGGCCTCAGTCTGCCTTCAGCCTCGGCCTCAGCCTCAGCCTGCCTCAGCCTCAGCCTGCATCAGCCTCAGCCTCAGCCTCAGCCTGCCTCAGCATCAGCCTGCCTCAGCCTCAGCCTCAGCCTGCCTCAGCCTCAGCCTCAGCCTGCAGCCTCAGCCTCAGCCTGCTTCAGCCTCAGCCTCAGTCTGCCTTCAGCCTCGGCCTCAGCCTCAGCCTGCCTCAGCCTCAGCCTCAGCCTGCATCAGCCTCAGCCTCAGCCTCAGCCTGCCTCAGCATCAGCCTGCCTCAGCCTCAGCCTCAGCCTCCTCAGCCTCAGCCTCAGCCTGCTTCAGCCTCAGCCTCAGTCTGCCTTCAGCCTCGGCCTCAGCCTCAGCCTGCCTCAGCCTCAGCCTGCATCAGCCTCAGCCTCAGCCTCAGCCTGCCTCAGCATCAGCCTCAGCCTGCCTCAGCCTCAGCCTCAGCCCTGCCTCAGCCTCAGCCTGCTTCAGCCTCAGCCTCAGTCTGCCTTCAGCCTCGGCCTCAGCCTCAGCCTGCCTCAGCCTCAGCCTGCATCAGCCTCAGCCTCAGCCTCAGCCTCAGCCTGCCTCAGCATCAGCCTGCCTCAGCCTCAGCCTCAGCCTGCCTCAGCCTCAGCCTCAGCCTCAGCAGCCTCAGCCTCCCTGCCTCAGCCTCAGCCTGCCTCAGCCTCAGCCTGCCTCTCAGCAGCCTCAGCCTCAGCCTCAGCCTCAGCCTCAGCCTCAGCCTGCCTCAGCCAGCCTCAGCCTCAGCCTCCTCAGCCTCAGCCTCAGCCTGCTTCAGCCTCAGCCTCAGTCTGCCTTCAGCCTCGGCCTCAGCCTCAGCCTGCCTCAGCCTCAGCCTGCCTCAGCCTCAGCCTCAGCCTGCCTCAGCATTCAAAATGTGGCCCGGGAATGGAGTTCTGGGAACTCGAAGAACACGAAGTGGCCTACAGTTGGCTCCGGGCATTCAAAATCATGCCCAGGAATGGAGTTCTGGGAACTCGAAGATCACGAAGTGGCCTACAGTTGGCTCGGGGCATTCAAAATGTGGCCCGGGAATGGAGTTCTGGGAACTCGAAGAGCACGAAGTGGCCTACAGTTGGCTCCGGGCATCCAAAATGTGGCCCGGGAATGGAGTTCTGGGAAGTCGAAGAGCACGAAGTGGCCTACAGTTGGCTCCGGGCATCCAAAATGTGGCCCGGGAATGGAGTTCTGGGAACTCGAAGAGCACGAAGTGTGTGACTGTTGCATCCGGCCCTCCAGAATGTGGCCTGGGAATGGAGTTCTGGGAAATCGAAGAGCACGAAGTGTGTGACTGTTGGTGAAAAACGAGCGGGGCACCCTGCCGCCCGGCAACTCCCAACACCTGCCCGGACCCCCCTGTGGAGTGATCTGTGAGCTCTTTTGAGTCCACTAGAAACCTATCAGTCTTCGCTGTTAGGTAATAAGGAAAGCTGCAATTATCGATTATTCGTATTTTGGGAGCTGTCGCCTTTTCGAGCCTTCAGCGCGCCCGAAGGCGGCCCACTAAGGCCCCAAGACAGCCTTAGAAGACCCCTCCTTAGCAATTTTGGCTCAAGCGCGACCGCATAGGTTGAAGCAGTAGAAAGTGGATCGTCTGTCTTCCGCGCACACTTCTTTCATTCTCCTCGTCCTCAGTTAGCTGGGATGCTTGCGACGGGGAAGGCACAGTGGACGACCGTATGCCGCGTGGTGGCGCTATTGGCCCTGTGCGTGCCCGGCGAGACTTCCGTGGTGGTGCGCGAGAGTAGTGACGACGCATTCAGCAGCCTTGTCCATCCCGACGTTCACCAGCACAGCGCCGTCCGCACGAGCGCGAAGGACCCTGCCTCGATCGAGGGTGGCTGGGACGCCAACTTCGGCGTCACCGTGGATGGCTCCTCCAACGTGTTGAGCTGGTGGGATACGACTGGCAAGGGCTACGATGTGGCGCCGATGTACAACACTGGAGCCCCGATGTACAGCAGCACTGGCATTAACGGCCACCCCGCAGTCCACTTCGAGAACAACGAGCACCTGGTGTCCACGCAGACGCACCCCAGCGCCTGCACCCCCGACACTTCGTACACATGGATTGCTGTGGTGAAGATGGAAGGCACAGGCTGGGAAAACATCTTCAGCACTCAGGATGCCTGCGCTCAGCACTTGAATGATTATTTAATCGCTTCGCTCATTCCGCCGGCCCATATTGTCGCACCGTTGTGGGCTAGCCGAGTTTTGGGGCCTCTTGGGGGCCGTTTTTGGGCCTCTTGGGGCCTCTTTTGGGCCTCTTGGGCGCCTCTTGGGGCGTCTTGGGGGCCTCTTGGGGGCCTCTTGGGGCCTTTTTGGGGCCTCCTGGGCGCCTTCTGGGGCGGAGCCCTAGAACATGCACACAGTGGCTACGGGACACGGATCCAGGAAACATGTGCCATCGGCCGCGGTGGAGGGTCGGGGAGGAGGGTGCCGGACGAATGTCTGCAGGGCGGGTGGCTCTAAAATCTGCAGACAGTGGCTACGACACAGGGCTCCAGGAAGCAGGCGGGGTCGACCGTGGGGTTGAGGGTCGGGGAGAGGGGTTTTTGCATACGGCTCCGTCTACCAGATGCAGCCGCGCTCCGTGGCCAGGGGCACGGCCGTCCTCAGCCCCTCCTGTTCCTCTTTCTCCGTTCCTCTTCCATTTCCTGTTCACCCCCCCTTCTCCTTGTTGCAAAGCATCTAGCAATACTACGCAGTGTTTTGCGCCCTCGGTGCCGCGAAAGCTCAGAGAGGGGTGCTGGGGGTGCTGGCGCGGTGAGCGCTTGGGTCTCCAAAGCCACAACAACAAATTACCTTGGCGACGTACCCAACCCCTGCGCAAACGCGGGGCGCACATAGCTTAGGACACTTTATAAGGAGGGCGATGACGGAGCGAGGGTTACATATGTCTGCAGACGGAATTCGGGAGGCTCGCAGGACAATGGCTACAGGACAAGGACTACAATCCCTGAGCAACCCTAGCTGATTCGAAAGCGGGGATCTCAGATCGCAACCCCCCAGGGATGGCGAGGTGTAATTTGGGTCCGCGCGTGGCGTCACTGTGCTGGGCCCCCCAGCAGGCTTCGAAAGTGGCGACAGTTTCACAGATCGCAGCCCCCCAGTGATGGCGAGGTCTAATTTGAATCTGCGTGTGGCGTCGCTGTGCTGGGCCCCCCAGCAGGCCTCGAACGTGGCGACAGTTTCACAGATCGCATCCCCCCAGGGATGGCGAGGTTTATTTTGGGTCCGCGCGTGGCGTCACTGTGCTGGGCCCCCCAGCAGGCCTCGAAAGTGGCGACAGTTTCACAGATCGCAGCCCCCCAGGGATGGCGAGGTCTAATTTGAATCTGCGTGTGGCGTCACTGTGCTGGGCCCCCCAGCGGGCCTCGAAACTGGCGACAGTTTCACAAATCGCAGCCCCCCAGGGATGGCGAGATCTAATTTGGGTCCGCGCGTGGCGTCGCTGTATTGGGCCCCCCAGCAGGCCTCGAAAGTGGCGACAGTTTCACAGATCGCAGCCCCCCAGGGATGGCGAGGTTTAATTTGGGTCCGCGCGTGGCGTCACTGTGCTGGGCCCCCCAGCAGGTCTCGAAAGTGGCGACAGTTTCACAGATCGCAGCCCCCCAGTGATGGCGAGGGTTAATTTGAATCTGCGTGCGGCGTCACCCTGCTGGGCCCCCCAGGAGGCCTCGAAAGTGGCGACAGTTTCACATATCGCAGCCCCCCCAGGGATGGCGAGGGCCAATTTGGATCCGCGCGTGGCGTCACCGTGCTGGGCCCCCTAGCAGGCCTCGAAAATGGCGACAGTTTCACAGATCGCAGCCCCCCAGGGATGGCGAGGTCTAATTTGAATCTGCGTGCGGCGTCACTGTGCTGGGCCCCCCAGCAGGCCTCGAAAGTGGCGACAGTTTCACAGATCGCAGCCCCCCAGGGGTGGCGAGGCCTAATTTGAGACTGCCCGTGGCGTCACTGTGCTGAGCCCCCCAGCAGGCCTCGAAAGTGGCGATAGTTTCACAGATCGCAGCCCCCCAGGGATGGCGAGGTCTAATTTGAATCTGCGTGCGGCGTCAATGTGCTGGGCCCCCCCCCCAGCAGGCCTCGAAAGTGGCGACAGTTTCACAGATCGCAGCCCCCCAGGGGTGGCGAGGTTTGATTTGAATCTGCGCGTGGCGTCACTGTGCTGGGCTCCCCAGCAGGCCTCGAAAGTGGCGACAGTTTCACAGATCGCAGCCCCCCAGGGATGGCGAGGTCTAATTTGGGTCCGCGCGTGGCGTCACTGTGCTGGGCCCCCCAGCAGGCCTCGAAAGTGGCGACAGTTTCACAGATCGCAGCCCCCCAGGGATGGTGAGGTCTAATTTGAATCTGCGTGTGGCGTCACTGTGCTGGGCCCCCCAGCAGGCCTCGAAAGTGGCGACAGTTTCACAGATCGCAGCCCCCCAGGGATGGCGAGGTCTAATTTGAATCCGCCGTGGGGCGTCACTGTGCTGGGCCCCCCAGCAGGCCTCGAAAGTGGCGACAGTTTCACAGATCGCAGCCCCCCAGGGATGGCGAGGTGTAATTTGAATCTGCGTGTGGCGTCACTGTGCTGGGCCCCCCAGCAGGTCTCGAAAGTGGCGACAGTTTCGCAAATCGCAGCCCCTCCAGGGATGGCGAGGTCTAATTTGAATCTGCGTGTGGCGTCACCGTGCTGGGCCCCCCAGCAGGCCTCGAAAGTGGCGACAGTTTCACAGATCGCAGCCCCCCAGGGATGGCGAGGTTTAGTTTGAATCTGCGTGTGGCGTCACTGTGCTGGGCCCCCCAGTAGGCCTCGAACATGGCGACAGTTTCACATATCGCACCCCCCCAGGGACGGCGAGGTTTAATTTGAATGTGCGTGCGGCGTCACTGTGCTGGGCCTCCCAGCAGGCCTCGAACGTGGCGACAGTTTCACAGATCGCAGCCCCCCAGGGATGGCGAGGTCTAATTTGAATCTGCGTGTGGCCCTCACTGTGCTGGGCCCCCCAGCAGGCCTCGAAAATGGCAACAGTTTCACAGATCGCAGCCCCCCAGGGATGGCGAGGTCTAGTTTGAATCTGCGTGTGGCCCTCACTGCGCTGAACCCCCCAGCAGGCCTCGAAAATGGCAACAGTTTCACAGATCGCAGCCCCCCAGGGATGGCGAGGTCTAATTTGAATCTGCGTGTGGCCCTCACTGTGCTGGGCCCCCCAGCAGGCCTCGAAAATGGCGACAGTTTCACAGATCGCAGCCCCCCAGGGATGGCGAGGCCTAATTTGAATCTGCGTGTGGCCCTCACTGTGCTGAGCCCCCCATCAGGCCTCGAAAATGGCGACAGTTTCACAGATCGCAGCCCTCCGCAGGCAAGACAGGAAGAGGCAGGGAGGGAGGGAGGAGGAGGAAGGAGTGGAGACCAGACTGCTCTATTCAAAACGAATACCCAACCAAGGAGGGTTGGGAACAAGACGCGCAATATTTCGCGGCGCCGATGGCGCCAAACTTTGTGTATTCCTGGTTTGTGTTTGGGGAAATCAATGTCCTGGGCGCCGAACGGTTTCCTTCGCCCCAGGGCCTCCAGGTTTTCTTTGGAGGCCTGGGCTGCAAGCGGGCGCGCGTGCATATCCTTGCTTTACAGCCTCCAGCGAGTGCTCCCCATCCGCATCCTCCTCATCCTTCCTCCATCTACGCATGCCTCCCCTCTTCCATTTTCCATTTGCCATGTGTTTTGCCGTGTCTCGAGGCTGATCCCCAGCCCATCCTAGAGTTGTCCGCTCGCTGCGGTGTCGAGGACTGTGTCCTCGACCTCTGACTGCTACTTTGGTTTGTTGCTTCTTTTGATCCGTGAGCCACCCCGCTCCGGATGCGCGCGCGGAGCTCCGCCCGTGCCTTCTGCGTGCAGACATGACTGCGCCTGACTCCCTCTTCCTGGCGATCCTCTGCCCTGCGCTTCCAGGCTGTGTCCAGAGTGTTGGGTGGGTTTTCGAGGGCCTCCCTCGTGGCCACGGTTGGACGCGGCTCGGAAGACCAGTCCAGGCGGCGTTCTGGGAGGAGAAAAGGCTCAAGGTGATCACAGGGCAAAAGGAGGGTAACTTAAGATTGCCCTGGGCGGGGGGCGGTCACCCCCTCGCACGCGCCGACAGGGTCGGCGGCGGATTTTCGAGGGCGGGGCATCGGGGGCCTCCTTCATGGCCACGGCGAAGGGAGGGGAGGGCGGGAGGGAGGGAGGGAGGGAGGGAGGGAGGGAGGGGAGAGGGCAAGCTAGGTGCGCTCGCGTCATATCTGACGTCCTACCCCTCCCTCCCATCCCTTACCATGGCGCTGATTTTCTCTATCCGCGGACGCGTGTCGTAGCGGACCTGTGGCTCCGCGCGCGCGTGCGTAGTGGTGGTGGTGCGCGTGCGTGCGTGTGTGCGTGTGTGCGTGGTGGTGGTGGTGGTGGTGGTGGTGGTGGTGGTGGTGGTGGTGGTGGTGGTGGTGGTGCGGCGCGGTGGTGGCGGGCGGATGGGCGCGCGAGAAAGAGGCCCGCGCTGGGGCGAGAACGCCATCCTGAACGACGGAGGCCAAACACCGATCCGAAAATGAGGCCCACGCTGCAGCGGGAGCACGATTCGGAACGATTCGGGAGCAGAAATGAGGCCAGCGCCTCAGCGAGCGCAGTATTTTGACAAAAAACCCAGGCGAAAACCCGTTTCCAGGGAATCCTGTGTAAAAAAACAGTACGCGAGGGGGGGTCGGCCATCTTCGGGACGCCGTCAGGGGAAGTGGGAGAGTATTTTCATATTGTGTAATTGTGGAGGGAGGGAGGGAGGGAGGGAGGGAGGGAGGGAGGGAGGAGGAGGAGGTAAAAAAGGTAAAGGCGCTTAGGGGACGTGGTGTCACGCAGCAGCAGCGGCGGCAGCACAACACTTGTGGATGTCCCTGCGAGACATATGGATGCAGGGCCTACGCTTGGTGCCGTAGGCCTGCCTGGGGCGCGCCCCCCTGGTGCACGACGAGGGGGGGGGCCCGTGCAGGGAGCGCTATCGCGTCCTGCTCTCAGTCTCGGGAGTGGGGTGCAGGCTATTTGGCTAGCAACGTGCACCCCCTCCAAGGCAAGGGGTATGGAGGACATGCACGAGACAGACAACACACAACACACACTCACACACACACACAACCCGAGGGGAGGAGGAGGGAGGGCCGCCGCGGGGCGCCTGCGTCACGGTCATGCCGTTGACGCGAGGCGCGCGCGGCGGCGCGGGCGGCACGAAACGATACGACCACCCCCCCTCCTCCTCTCCCCACTCCTCGAATCCTAAAAAAAGAACACTAGACGAGGTGGTACAGAAACTGGTTGCCTGTGGGGGATCACGCCTCTAGGTGAGTCTAGCGGTGATTGAAGCTGGCAGTCTGTCCCCATCAATAGTGGACTGACCCGTAGTCGTGTCATCACACTCACAATCCATAGTGGCATGGCATGTTGTTTCCGTGGTCCCCACATGACTATGTCTCTCTCTTGCGTTCGCCAGCCTCTCAACGGTCAACGGCAATGCGAAATGCAATGGAGCTGCGCATACGGCCGCTCAGTGACGATGTGCCTCTCTTCCTCACTCACTGCTCCTTTCTAAGGCTGGTCCTTCTCTGACTCTGGGATCGGCACGTTGCACCCGTCGCTCGATGATGCTGCCGTCGCTTCATTATGTGGGATTACTTCCTCTGGCGTCTCTGGCTTGGAGCTCTTACCCTCTTTGTAGTCGACCCACTTCTTAGGCTCCCTCCACCCGTAGAACGTCCAGGTCTTCGGGTCGTCCTTGTTCCACACTGGGATTCCTCCTTTTGGCGGCGTCCACCCGTAGAAGATCCACGAGCTCGGGTCGTCCGCCCTCCACGGTGGGATGGTGCCGTTGTTCGCCCTCTTCGCCTCGAACATGGCCCTCTTCACCTTCTGCGTCATGACCAGGCCCTGCAGGTCCTCCTTCTCGTCGAGCTGGAGCTTGCTGTACTCCTTTGTCGATGTCATCTGCAAGGGTGTGTCGTACTTCCATGCCAATGACCCGTGCGCTGTGATGAGCGCGCTCGTGGTCTCGTCGATGCTCTTGATCTGGTCGGCCAGGGTCTGAGTGTTCTCCGCCAGCATGAACGCTCCCTCCGCCGTCGTGTTGTTCACCTGCTGGCTGCGCGCCAGGTTCTGACTCAGCACCTTCTTCTGGGCAATCAGCACCTCGATCTGCATCTCGAGCTTCTTCTTGAGGTCCGCCATCGTGTCCACACACTTCTGGATGTTAGTCTCCTGGAGCTTGATCACATATGCCTCGTCTCCAATGACTTGGTTGGCCGTGGTGTCTCCGCGAAACATGGGTGCTTCCTCGATCGCTGGCAGCATCTGTTGCATCACGGGACAGGCTGATACAAAGTGAGCGTGGCGAGCCAAAAAAAAACCGCAACTGTAGTAAGCCAGTTGTGCTACGGATGTTCCATTCCTGTTGTGACCAACCGTCGGTGGGACACGTAGCAGGAGTCCAAGCAGGGTGAGCTCTCCGAGGACTCAGGCGACCAATCTGAGACTCGAGGGGGGGGGCACGCTCCGTCGCCTTTAAGGGATCGTGCCCACCCGTATGGGCGCTACGGGTCCCCCCCCTCGAGTATAGTAGAGCTCTCCCATGGGCCCTCCTGGGAGCCTTAGGCCTAGGGCCCCGCATGCATGTCTGCTCTCTTGTGTGAACAAAACTGGACAACTGGTACTAGCATCCGATGTCCTGCATGCTGCTACCCCCATCTGAGTGCTATCCGCTCTGAAGCAATGCCGTATACACGGAACAAAAGGAGGGGCCGATGTCGGTGCCTAGTTCTCTGTCCAGTTCCCCCCTCTGTAGCAGTGTTCGTCACAGTACTTTCCCCGCCTACGTAGCCTACCACTTGTGCTCTCTGGTGTCCCCACTCCCTTGCCAGTTCATCCTTCTGCCATCGTGCTGTGCCCTGTCCCGTCCTTGTAGTAATGCCCTCCCCTGTCACCTGTACGTACCCGTCGTAACTGTATAAACCCAAGAACCGTCATACTTGTGCTGTCTGTCCCACGTCGTATTCCAGTCCGTAGTAAGTTCTGCTGTTGATCTTAAACTCGTTTACCTCCACTGCCTCCTCGTCCTCCTGCACCCTCCGAGTGATATCGTAATGCTTGGAGCCGCTCTGCTTGAAATCGCTTGGCTAGTTCATGCAGCTGCTTGCTTTTTCTGTATTTTCCACTTTGGTCCGCTAATTCTTTTCTAGTTTTTCCGGGAAAGGGCGCGGGCCCAGGGTTCTCTTTTTCTATGTAAACATGTCCCCGGTGCCCAACTTGAAGGAGGCCGGCGAAATTTTTCCTTGATAAATATCGAGGTCGAAGGAGGCCGGCGAAATTATGTTTGAGGATGTCTCGAGCGAAACGCTTGTTTTTGAAATCCCAATCGATAAATCACAGGGTGCGGGCCACTTTTTCGTGCGTTGAGGATGTCTCGAGCGAAACGTTTGCTCCGCAGAGTTTGCTGAGGATGTCTCGAGCGAAACGCTTGTTTTGTTACGTATGTGCCTATAGATTCGCCCTCTCCAGGGGGACGAATCCGTGTGTTTTTACGTAATGAAAACACGTGGGCCCATTTCGCACCCCAGCACGACCACACCCCAGCACGACCACGCCCCAGCACGTCCACACCCCAGCACGACCACACCCCAGCACGACCACACCCCAGCACGACCACACCCCCAGTACGACCACACCCCAGCACGACCACACCCCAGCACGACCCGATCGATAAATCACAGGGTGCGGACCACCCCAGCACGACCACACCCCAGCACGACCCCACCCCAGCACGACCCCACCCCAACACGACCACACCCCAGCACGCACCACACCCCAGCACGACCACGCACGACGCACGACCCCAGCCACACACCAGCACCCAGCACGACCACACCCCAGCACGACCCACACACGACCAGCACGACCACACCCCAGCACGACCCCACCCCAGCAAGACCACACCCCAGCACGACCACACCCCAGCACGACCTCACCACAGCACGACCACACCCCAGCACGACCACGCCCCAGCACGACCACGCCCCAGCACGACCACGCCCCAGCACGACCACCCCCCAGCACGACCAGCACGACCACCCCCCAGCACGACCACAGCACGACCACCCCCAGCACGTCGCACCCCCGTGGAATGTTTCGTGGGGTGTCTGGTGGAGTGGTTGCCTGTTCGTGGGGTGTCTCGTGGAATGTTTCACGGGGTGTCTCGTGGAATGTTTCGTGAGGTGTCTCGTGGGATGTTTCGCGGGGTGTCTCGTGGGATGTTTCGTGAGGTGTCGCCCAGTTGGGTATCGTGAAAACGTGACCATGCTGCACATGTCTATACTCCCTTTCCGGGTTCGTGGGTCCATCATGTTGTTATTTTCCGCCCAAGATCCCCCTGTAGGGGGAAATGCCCGACCTAACACTGGGGGGGGAGCTCGTACAGTCTGTTGCTCCTTTGTGCTTGTCCTCGTCGCCTTGCTGCTACCTCCGTTGCCTGCCTGCTCGCGCCCTCGCGCCAGCCTCCCCGCGTGCCTGCCCGCCTCCCCAGTGGGTGTTCGCGCGGCGTCGCTCTGCAGCGTGCCGCCGCCGATTCGATTTCGATTTCGATGTCGATTTTGCAGCAATGGGCGAAGTCCGTACTCCAAATCCCTTGACAATCGACCCCACCTGAAAAAGTTGACCCCCCTCTAGATGCAACCTAATTTTATGGGCCCCCCTCTTCGA